TTCAGAAGGTGCGGAGGCCAGCCGTGCGCCCCAGAGGGCAGTGAGCCAGGCAAGGCTGTGAGAGCAACAGCAGAGGTGAGAGCCCCGGAGGCTGAAGAGTGCAGGAGCAGCTGAGGAAAGCCGCGAGGAGGAGCAAGAGGAGGAGCAAAGGCAGCCCAAGAAAGCAGCAGAGAGCGCTGCCGCCAGCGACGCCGCGGGGAGGGGCTCCCCAAGTCATTTGCAACTCCTGCAAAAATTAAAAGGAAAGTTAAATATCGATAAGCAACGTGACACGGGGTGAGCATCCCGATTCCAAAACAGAGAAATGGGGGGAGTGAAAGGGACTCACACCTAAGAATCTGTTGCAGGCCTTCGAAGCAACCCAGAACTCGGCTCTCTCGGGATGCCGGGATTCTAAGTATTTCAGAGATGGATCGATGCAGTCCATATAAAGAAAAGTACGCAGGTCTCAGGGCCGGGGGAATGCTGTCCTTTGCACGGAGATGACCCGTACTGTGCTCCTTAATGAGTCTCTTCCACCCCGTGGATAGGAGTAGGGTCGGGTAGGCAGAGCAGGTCACGAGGGGCGGCCACTAGGTGCGGCCCAGGGCCTCCCTTCACTCTTTCCTCTTGCTGCCGTGAAGTGAGCAGCTTCTGCTCGGCTATTTCCCTCCTGAGGCATTCTGCTGTGCAGCTGATCAGCACTGGACTGTGATTTTAAGGCAAAATACATTTCTCCTCCTTGGGCCAAGGAGGTAGCTCAGGGCCTTAACTGCCTGCCTGCAGACGTAAGGTCCCGAGCTTGATCCCTAGTACAAGAAATAAGGGGGAAAGTCCCCTTGAAGCTGCAACTGGCGTGCTCCAGCCAAGAATAAATTTATAAGGCATAGGGTGTTCAGGGTCTCACCACTAGATTGGACTCGTAGCGATCCGCCTGTTTACAGCCTCCCAAGAGCTGGGATTATAGGCGCACACCACCACACCCAGTCTCAATTGCTGTCTCTGCACACCTCATGGGCCAGGCTGGCAGGCCCGGGGATCGGACCCCTGGCCCCTGCGCCTGCTTGCAGGAGCTTTAATCTGCTGAGCTATTTGGCCGGCCCTTCAAATTTGTGATTGAACCACCAAGAAGAGATCTGCCCTGCAGAAAATCATATACCAAGAGACTGACCCCGTTCCTAGAAATTTTACTTCAGTATTTGGGGACGTCCACCTAAGACTCTTCACTTACTGCACTAGAAACAACTTAGTTTCCCTGCACGCAAAAGTAGATTCACCCAACGGTAAGGGACAGTTTGCAGACATCTGAAATACGCGGCCCCCTGCAGGTAGTGAAATGATGGCCTGCAGAACAGGCTCCAGGTGGAAATGCGCGAGATTCCCCAGATCTGTCAATAGGCGGCAGCACTTATACACAATAATGTCCACGCTGCAGGTCATTACTTAACAAATTCTCAGTCCTCCAAAAGGGTTAACAAGAAGCAAGTGTTCGGATTTATTTTTAATTAAATTTGTCTGTTTTAATAATTGTTTCTTCCTGACTTTTTTAGTGTTTTATTTTGTAATTTTAATTGGCTATTATTTCTTTTCAACAGCTGAGAAATTTCCCCAAGGGAAGTAGAAATACCTTGTCCACAGAAAAACTCATCCATCTGCATTTTCATTCAAAGTTGCACACGGGGCTGAGGAGATGGTTCAGCACTCTGAGCACGGCCTGGCAAGCGCAAGGGCCCAAGTTCAATCCCTGGTACCACATGCCGTGCTCTGGTCCCAGATCCCCGGACGCGCCATGCTGGCCACCGAAATCAGATTTAGTGGCGCACACCTGTAATCCCAGCACTGGGGAGATTGAGACAGGAGGATCATTATGAGTCTGAGTTATGGAGTGGATGAAGCCCTGTTCCAAAGAAATAAAGAAAGAAAAGAGAGGAAGCAAAACAAAACGACAAGAACAACAAAGTTGTACACAGAAAAAAAAAAAAAAAAAACAGAGACTCAGAGAGGACGGTTCCCAGGCGAGTGCCACGCGTGTGCACTAGCCTGGTCAGGTAGTTGGCAGAGCTGTCCCTACTTCAGAAAACGCTGTCTTCATGCCGCTTCTGGTGTTTATTCTGTGGCAGTATGTCACCCCCCATAAAGGTCCATAGCTGGTTCTGTCACCATTTTGGGGCTGCAGATTAGGTGCTTTATGAGGCAAAACATAGCAACACAAATATTTAAATTGCTCCCACATTTTACAACCTCAACTGCTGCATTTTATATAAAGGTGACAAAATTAATACTGTCACTGGTATGATTAGCTGTCCCCCAAAGACTCCTGCCTGGGGAAGTCAGGAATGGAGCAGTTTGAGAAACCGAAATCACAAGCCGAGAAAGGTAGGTGAGAGAAGGAGCCCCCGGGGGGGGGGGTCAAACTTTCATCCTTGTTTACATGCTGGAACCAAACGAAGGAATACAGGGATTTCCTGAAAACTCACTCCCCTGGGAATTGTGATGCTCAACAGTATTGGGACGCGATGTTCTGTGCTTAAAAGACCAGCAACGCAATGTTAGTTACTTATGGGACGAGGAACTTGAAAGAGCAACTCAAAAAACAGTTTACAAATGTTACTATGTGCTAACATACAGTTGATTAGTTAGTTTTACTTATTTGGGTTTCAATTTCCCAAGCGCTTGCAGGTGGTATTTTTAAAATACAGCAAAACCTGCTCGCTGCCCCCAACTTTTCTGTGGTCATCGACATTCAGTGCCAGGGCCAGCGGCCGTGGTGTGGCGCGCACAGGGCTCGGGGCAGGAAGGGCAGACACACAGCTGGTGGGGTGGCACCCGCTCGCTCAGCAGGGCAGCGCCCGCCTCCTCCTTCGCTTTACGCCGGAAGAGCACGTCTACTGCAGGTGCAGGAGCATTCCGGCGGGGATAGAGTGGAGAAGAGCTTTATTACATGAGCTGATTTGAAGGCAGCCTTGGAAATTACATGTTTCAGGTGACGTCTGCACCCACAAGCCTTCGAGGCCAGCTCCTGTCTGTTTCTGCTGGTCGCTTTGACGTTTTGGTAGCAAGCACACGATCTGCCCAGAGGGGGCCACATGTGCTCACGAGAATGAATCATTCTTATGTGTCTGTGTGTAATGTCTGAATGATACACCAAAGAGCATAATTGGATTTGTTCTGCTAATAAATAATAGCATAAATTTTCATTTTGACTTGGAACTTTTCCAGTCAAACTTTCTCATCCATGTTACTTAATTTGATTCCAAAAAGCACATCATATGCTTCCCATTGTTGCATCTCTAGCCCAACTTCAAGTTTCTGACATTAACACACACTTCTCTATTTAGTGTACAGTCTCTTGAAAATAATTACACTGAAATTCATAAGTTCACAAACAGTATAAGTAAATTTGACATACCTAGAAAATGTTAAGTATCTGTTATGTATCTTTATATTTTCCATAACTGGCTAAAAACCTTAGCTAATTGAGTTTAGCAATGTGTTAATGATTTAATACCTACTAAGTCCAGTGTGGAAGACTTGGGGAGTAACAAGTCTTTTTATCACTATAAAAGTGATAAAAATAATATTCTTGAATAAATGAATATAGATTGATTAACTTGGTGTGGTTATTTGGCCATTCATAAGTCATTTTTAAATGAAAAATTTTTAAAGGTTGATTGATTGATTGATTTGGTATAAGGTCTTACTATGCAGCTTCGACTTGCAGTGACCCTCCTGTCTCAGCCTCCCCAGCACTAGGACTGCGGGTGTGTGCCACCCTGCACAGTTTCCGTGGCTGGCACGGCAGGGGCCAGAATTGCATACAGTGCTGGGGATTGAACTCAGGTCCTTGCGCTTTCCAGGCAGTCATGTAGACCGCCGAATATCACCCTAGCTCTTAAATGAGAAATTTAAAGTTTGAAAAAATCTCTGAACTTTTACCTGTGTACTTCATCACCACTGAATTAATAGAACATTAAAAGTAGTCAATAATGTGAAATACTTACTGTGCTGTAGGTGGCGTGCTAAGCCCTCGATGGCTCTGATTCTTAGGCAGCAAAACCATGAGGCAGATACCACGGTTGCCGTTTGACGTAGTCGGCGTGCATTTGAGAGCTTGGCTGAGGCTCTGCTGGTGTCCCCCATCCAAAGGCCAGCTCATCCACTGCCCGTATTTCACTCTTCCCACCTTCAGTGACAAATGCAAACAAATTAACCGTCCCCCAAAAATTCTGCGTATGCTATTTTGGTAACATATTAGTGCATCCCTCAGGGACCCTATTCAACTCATGTCAATAAAAGCTACTTATTAGTAATGTTCAACATATAAATTTACTTTTTTAAAGGTAGAAAATAGATTAATCATAAAAAATTAAAACAAGCATTTTGATTAAGTAAACTGCAAGGAAATAAAAGAGTTGTTGACCGACATCTATGCACTATGGAAGTTATATTCACCATGAAGAAAAGACCCACGACGAAGACAAACTGAATGACTGGTTGTTTATAAGCGCACTTGTAACATTCAGAAAAATAAGTCTGCTTTGTGATTTCTCAGAGAGAAAGAGCAATGTAAAAATCAGTGATTTTTTTTTTCAAAGATTTGGATTGTTGTAAACAATCTGCTTGAAGTGAGTTGAAGCTACAAGTAACAACATGTTAATACAGTGCACTAGTACTTTTGCTGTAACATCAGACACCTTTGGAAGCATATTTTCAATAAGTTCATAGCCAACACCAAGAGTTCTCAATTCCTGAATAAATCTCCAATGCAAAGCGAATTTGGGGTCTTAATGAGTTACACCTACAAAAGATAGCCAGTTTAATCATACGTGAGTTGTGATCTTTACAAGTGATGCTAAGGTTTCCTAACTCATGGATTCTTCCTTGTGTCTTGGTCACATCTCAAGGAGCCTTCGAGAAGATAAAGCTTTATCTTTTGAAGAAGTCGTTGCCGTCCCCCACTGAGCGAAGCAAGTTTGATCACGACTTCGCCATCTCCACCTCCTTTCATGGGGTTCACAATATTGTTCGGAACCAGAGCAAGATCCGGAAGACCATCTGGTTAGCCGTGGTGCTGGGCTCCGTGTCACTGCTGGTGTGGCAGGTCTACAGTCGCTTGGTCAACTACTTCACGTGGCCCACGACCACGGCTATAGAGGTGCAGTACGTGGAAAAGATTGAGTTTCCTGCTGTGACATTCTGCAATTTGAACAGGTGAAACTTAATCTTTTAATAATAGTCTTTATTGCTGTGCTAGTATAATGTTAATTGGATTATTGGCAGAGTTTTCTTTGTTTTATTGGCTGCAGTATTTCACATATCTGAATGCTTTGAGCTTCATAAACTGTACATAAATGCACAAATTTAGGGTAGTAAATAAGCATATTAATTTTCTTCAGGTACTTACTTTTTCATAATTATGTGCTAAATGAATATCAAATTGGATGATTAAGTGAACAAGCAAGCATTGATGCCTGCACTTAAAAGCTGTATTAACTACGAGGAGGAGAAATGAATAATCTCTCTGCAGGGTGGTAACTGCGCAGTGCAGTAAAGGTATGTGCAAAGGCTTCAGAAACGCAGAAGTCTGCAACAGTGTGTTTTCAACAAAAGTGCTAGCCACCTACAGTATGAAGGAAGAGAGGTGCATTGTGGCTTAGGGCTGCACAGGGCTTAGTTCATGGTTGGCTGGCTACAGGCAAAAGCCTCGTGGAGCAGGGGCACAGCATGACGTCCAGCTGCCAGGGAAGCAGATGCAGGGC